ATGGTGGGGACGGTCAAGATCAGCCTGCCGGGGCTGCAGAAGCTGAAGCTGGAGGGGAAGAAGGCGAAGAAGGCGGCGGCGCAGGCGCGCGCGGGTGGGGCCGGCGGGGGCGGCGGCGGCGGCAAGAAGTGAGGTGTGGGGCTCAAGGGGGCGCAGGCGGCGCCGTGCAGGGAGCGCACCGCGCTATCGAGCGTTTTGTCCAGCTGTCAGTGTATAGTGCTGCGCCTGTTGCATGCGTGTGCTTTACCAGTCTGCAGCAGCTGCTGCCCCTGGCGTGTGTTTGTGCTCTTTTCTGCTGACTCATTGTTCGAATGCAACTTTACGTTGCAGCAAGCCTCTGATCAGCGAGCCGCGCTGTCCCTGCTTGTGCAGCGTAACCTTGAAATTTCTAGCGACGAGGGGGGGGGGGGGTGTGACACCTTGCGCCAGCGGCGAGGCACACGGGGCCAGTGGGGGTTGCAAATACGTTGTGTGGGGCGCTGGATTGGGTCGGGCAGGGTCTCTGAGAGCTCCGGCGGGCTGGGCCGAACACGTGAGGCGTGGGCTTTGGGTGAGCTTTTCTTGTGACCTCGCGCAGGTGACCGGGTCGGGCGGCGCAACGTGTGGCGTGGCAGGTGGGATGATCTGGCAGACCTGCACGTGCTGTATGATTCCCAGCGTGTTGCTCGGTCGTGGTCACCCCAAATGGTTTTTACACACAAGCTGCGGCCCAGACATATGGGCTTTGGAGGGCTGGGCTGGTGCAAGCTGCAATGCTTCATGACGAGGGGGGGGAGCGGCAGTGGTGCCAAGCTCCAGCTGCGCACACGGGTCCGCGCAAGCCCGCGCGTCCATGTGGGCCATGCTTGTATGATGAATTACTGCTTTTGCGTGTCAGCACGTGGCGGATCGAGGCATGCACCGTTGGTTTGACCTTCGTTCAGGTGTGCTCAGATCGTTCGGACGCGGAGTGCATCGCCATGCTGTTAGTTTATAGATATAATATACTGATAACTGTACGCTCATCAACGGTGTGCATGGTTGCTCGACCACACGGCCATTTCTGCTCGGAGGGTTGACCAAGACATCATAGCCAGGCAGGGCGTTGTACAGCAGCACCCTCGACCTTTCTGTGTTCCAACCTGCTTGAAAACGCCCTAATTTACTCGGGGGTCTGCAGGCTGGGCACCACTGGCAATGACGTGGCAGCTCTGCACTCATCTCCGACGTGCCGCACGCGTGCTCTCGCGACAATACCCCCCAGCAGCACGGCCTTCGCCGTCCTTCAGTGGGCCTTGCTTCACACGTGAAGCTGACCGGGCACTTCTCTACCCAATCCTGGGGGGCCCTGGAAGTTGGTTTGATGCTCCGGGGACTGGCGGTGGGCTGTTGCACTGAAGCTTGTTCATCTTGCGAGTTTTGATGCTTCTGCCACCGTTGGTCTCAACTACGGCCGAGCCCGCTGCCACACGTGCAGGGGCAGTGAAGCCTTGTGCACGGATAGCCAAATCAACCTTCCAAATGCCATGGCTTCAAAGGCCAGCGGCTTCTTGCCATTGTTGCTTGTGACGAGAGGATTTGCCCAGCTGCCCTGACAAGCTGCTGACCCCCCCCCCCCCGGGGGAGACAGATGTGACGCATCATTTTTTTCAAGACTGAGGACAAGCAGGCTCAAAGCCTTGGTTCTGTGAACCTTAGTGCAGTCGCCTCCCAGCAAGCGCTAGCTGGTTGCCGCTGTACCGATTGACAACATACCAAGCCGGCGACAGCAGCGGCAGCGGCAGCGGCGGCAGCAGCGGCATCGGCAGCGGCAGCGGGGGGGAGGAGGAGGGGTCGGACGAGCGGCGCGAGGGCGGCATCGCGGGCGCAGACGGCGAGCGTGCGGATGGCAATGCAGGCTCCATCGCGGCGGCCCAGGAGCAGCAGCAGCAAGAGGAGCAGGAGCAGGAGCAGGAGCAGCAGCGGCGGCAGCAGGAGCAGGCGGAGCAGGAGGAGGAGGGCGAGACGGTGACCGGGAGCGGGGAGGAGGAGGAGGAGGAGGACGGGAAGCCCGACGCGGATCGGCCGGCTGCTGGCTGAGGAGAATGTGGCGGAGGCTGACTGTGGGTACACGGACGCGGGGGTTGAGCAGGTGGGCGCAGGGTTGTGGGGGTGCGTGTGGTTTGCGTTCAAGAGGCAGAGAGAGACAGAGAGAGACAGAGAGACAGCGAGACAGCTCGACAGCGAGGCAGCGAGACAGTGTGTGTTTATTGGCATGTGTGTGTATGTGTGAATGTGTGTGTGTGTGTGTGTCAGGGGCTGCACGTGTCTGCGTGCGCGCTGCACTTGTTTGCGCAGGCAGGGGGACGTCATCCACGGATTGTCGCAACAGCCAGCCCACGCTCGTCGCCACACCAGCTGCCTGGAAACTGTGGCTGCCGCCGCGAGGCGCCCAAACCCCTGAGAGACTCGGCGCTGCCCACCACCCCCCTCGCCGCCTGCGCTCAACGAGCCGACGCACCGCCCAACGCCTCCCACCGCCACCCCAAGGCCCTGCGCGAGCTGGACGCGCTAACCGGCCAGCCCCGCGCCGACGACGTGCTGCTGCACGCCGTCTGCGTCTGCGGCCCCTACTCCGCCCTCACGTCGTACAAATCCAAAGTGAAGCTCGTGCCGGGCACGCTGAAGAAGGGCAAGGCCGCGCGCGGGGCGCTCGACGCGCTCTCGCACGGCAGCGACGCGGCGCCGCGTGAGCGGGAGCTGATGCGCGCGGTGCCCGAGGCCGATATGGTCAACGCG